AAAGTTTAACTAATTCTGATGCTATATCTATGGAGCACGGTGAAGCGCTGGAGAAATTAAAAAAATTGCTCCCAAATCCAGGTAACGAAGACAACGTAACAGTTCTGGATTACGACATAGCAAAGTTGCATATACCCGACTTCCTACCAAAGCGTTTGTGGAAACATGGCATTGAAATTGTGGAGAACTATGAATCTAAAGTCCGAATAAAACGAGGAGCAGAGTGCATGCATGCATGAGAGTTCGCAACCACCCGACCTAAGTTAACCGTTTCCTAATTGTTTCCGCAATATCATGTCATTACCAGAAATATGGGACATTTTGCGCCCGCGTTTGTTGGCAGCGGCTAATCGCTTGAAAAATCAAAATGGCGACTCGAACTGCCAAAGGCAAAGGACGTGTGCCATTCCTTACGAAGTAGTTCTTCGATACGTTGGTTACCGGGTTTTAAAGCAAACCATTTGTCTGGCACAGTTAAATTAAATAAGTCAACATAATTTACATTTTCACAGGAAGTTGTTTCGCGAATATTTTTCCATACATTAAGCAGTGGCCATGGAATCTCCACACAAAAGAGAATCTTGTTAAATAAGTCCACTTGTTGCCTAACATAAGTAAGAGGAGCTTCAGAACTTACTTTCAATTTCCAATCTAACTTTCTTTTGCTGTATTCTTCGAGCACTTCCGACATTTTGACTTAACCGCGAAAGAGATTTTAAATAACCCGCGAAATATCCGCACGCAAATTGCTATATCAACACGAAATCGAGCTACAAAATCTCGCAAATCTCTCTGTTTTTCTTAAGTGAGGGACTGGGTACAAGCTTTGCTAGTAAACAAGAAACATGGCTGCTCGAAGGAGCCTAAATTTGTATTTAGACTTGTCGTTTTCGACTATAAATATAACCTAATGGCGATAAGCAAGACTCATAAAAAGGCAAAGTTTTAAACGATTTTGGAACCGGTTTGGCGCAGAATAACCTGGGATATGTTAAGCTATACTGACAGTTTGAACATCGCTAAATACATCGCGAAGTCCGCAGTTTACATCGCGCGAAAGAATGTTGGTCTATTCGGCGGAGTTTTACCTCATGTATGGCAAGATTACTATAGATTACACTATCAAATACTTCGAATTTCTAGTGAAAATACACCAATCACGGGAACCACTTAGACGTGTAGAAATGCTAGCGATTTTGGTTTACAAATACTGCTTGTTCGTGCTGTTGTTATTATCGAAGTCCGCAACCATGAGATATCTAAACAAAGTAGGTTAAAATTTGACATTTTTGTAAATCCCTGTATAGTTTATAGTAATATTTAGTCGCCATATTGGGGCAATGTGCGCATGTCCGTCTCCATCTTGTCCCATATTTCTGCTAATGTATTTTATATAAATTAAAACGTAAATTTATCAAACCTTTATTTTATTAATCTAGAGCTTGAAATATCCCGGTCACAATGCGCGATTGCATGTCTCATCCTCTTTGACCGCGCTTTACTATTTTTATTATCTATTTAAAAATGAGCACAACTTTTTAATTGTAAAATAGCGATCCTATCCCTAATTTAATTGGCATAATTAAAATAGTAAGCATGATTGTAGTTATTTAGTACCATATTAATATTAGACCTACAAGTGAAGAGATACGATAAGACTCACAGTAAAAGATCTAGACAGTGTATATATTATAAAATATTGTTATCAATAGTTATGAAACTATACGTTGTAAATATGTAATAAATATAATGTAAGAATATACTGGCAAAGTTATTATTACTGAACCAATAATGTAGCTAATACATCCTATAAATTTTATTCATATTATCACGCAATTTTTGTATATAAACTACTAACGCGTTCCAAAGAATTTTGAACAATTCCAAACTTCGAATTTTGACTCAAATTTGCAATATTTTGCGGAAATTTCTTATTTTTCTGCCAAAATACGGTATAATTGCCAAGTGAACGTAATTTTGCCCCAAATTTCAAAGAAAAAGGCGATTTCCTGCGAACTTGTGTCGAAATTGTATTGATATATAATCTTGATTTTCGCTGACAGCAATTCTTCTGGCTTACATTTTTGTTATTTTTCTATAATTTGTGCTGAGTGTGTTCAGTCTACTTCCAAAATCAATCAAAATCGAAGGAATTGGTAGAAAAAAGCTTATTTTTAATGTTTTTAGCTAATTTTCGCCGAATATTCTGATAACTGTTCATTTTACCGCACAATACCAAACTTTTAAACAAAAAAAAATGAACTGTCTGCTAAAATGCATGTGCAATAGAATAACTGGTGTAATATATAGGGGTGTCT